TGATCAAGTTCATCTTTGAGCATTTCGAATTGCATTACCTCTTCATAAAGAAGGTAGAGCAGAGAGAGGACAAATATTACATGAGAGCAAATCTGTTAAAATAATTTCAAAGGAAGGAAACTGATGCAATGAGGTTGCACCACACACATTTGAAGTGGGGCTTGAGAAGGTATTTGAATTATGGAAGGTAAATTTATGGACAGCTAAAAATAATGGAATTAGAGTTCAGTCCTATATATGTCTAGTTAGAAGCAAGTCCAAGTCTCTGGTAAACTGGCCTAGGGCTATAGAATCAGCCGGTAAAGGATTATTTTTTTCTATAGCATACATGCTAACACAAAGCACCTTTTCCTAACCTCAAGCAATTTTCCTAACTTCTTTGTGGAGTGTAGGACCCAATTCTTCCTGACAACTAATCTGGCTCACCTTGATGTAGATACAGGGGTCAGCAAACTTTTTCAGCAGGAGGCCGGTCCACTATCCCTCAAATCTTGTGGGGGGCCAGACTATATTTTTTTGGGGGGGGGGGAATGAACGAATTTCTATGCCCCACAAATAACCCAGAGTTGCATTTTAAATAAAAGGACACATTCTACTCATGTAAAAACATGCTGATTCCGGGACTGTCCACGGGCCGGATTTAGAAGGCGATTGGGCCAGATCCGGCCCCCAGGCTTTAGTTTGCCTACCCATGATGTAGAAGATTATTAGTAACAGTAGTATTTAGGAATGGAAACAGTTATCAGTTTTGGTTTTCTCCATCACTCTTTCCCAGCGTTTAATTCAATTCTACAAATTTCTGCAGCTGTTTGTGAAGTTTTATAATTAAATTATCATGTAAACCCTTCAGCGTTTTAGTGCAAATTTCTCCTAATAGTTTTGTATGTATTTTTTAAAACTAAGTAACAATTTTTTTCTCCCAAGTTAATGCATTTTTGCATTTTCACTAATGTGTTCATTTTTATGCATACCTTCCTGTAATACACACATTTTCGTAAATATGTTTTGATTGTAGAACTGCACTGCAGAATTCAAGAGAAGTACAAATTTCAAGGGATGGCTGTGTTTTGCTTCTCGTACGGCTTTGGAAAGTGCAAACACAATAGATTCAGCTTTAAACGTGAACTGAATCAGATTTCCCCCCCATCCCTAGCAGTGTTATCATTTGTGTGCAGAGAGAGCATGTTCTAAACATATGAAATGGCAAAAGTGGCTTGCTAGGTGGGGGTGGGGCAACTATATTAGTATCCTAGCAGGGAAAGGGGCAGGACAGTGAGGAGGTTGGTGTAGTGCCGACACACCAGCGGAGCCAATTCAGTACTCCTGCCAGTGTCTCTGCACTGTACCAACCCTCCCAACTTCCCTGCCACTTTGCCTCTCGCCTTCTTCCTCCCAGTGAGCAACACCAATCCATCAGCCAGGAAGCTGGCATCATGGCTTCTTCCTACTCAGTGAGTTGCTTCTATGAAGAATATCAGTTTTCAGAAAACAAAACACAGAAACTGCCCAGCTATTTAATAGTTTATCAGGTAGATCTTGCAGCATACAAGAGATTCCACCCAGCTCTGTGCTGTGGCTCCTATGGATCTTGTCTCATAACGTAGGGAATTAGAGCCTGGGAAAATTTTGGGAAATTGGCAAAATGTCCAGGTACAGTGGTACCTCGGGTTAAGAGGTCTGTTCTTAACCTGAAACTGTTCTTAACCTGAAGCACCACTTTAGCTAATGGGGCCTCTCGCTGCCACCGTGCCGCCAGAGCACAATTTCTGTTCTCATCCTGAAGCAAAGTTCTTAACCCGAGGTACTATTTCTGGGTTAGCGGAGTCTGTAACCTGAAGCGTATGTAACCTGAAGTGTATGTAACCCGAGGTACCACTGTATTTGCAACCTTCAAAAACTCAAGCTCAACAACAGCTTTCCCCTCAAAAAGGTGTAAACGCATCTAACTAGACAATCTTGCCTATGGTTACCAGAAAGAAAGAGAGAAATAGATTTCACCAAGAATTATCCATAGCTATCACTTAGCTTTTTGAAAGTTTGTAGTAGAAACTAGCTATCAAAGTAGAACAGATGTACTGTAGTCTGTTTCTGAAAAAGGATCCTCTGGTCCTAGCAATTTTTTTAAAAAAGGTTCTTTTAAAAGCACAGTTCACTTTCCTCCAGAGAATATATCAGACAAAATTACATGGTTTCTAGCTCAGACCTGTTTTACAGGGTCTCTGTGACATACATGCCTGTTCTGCTGTAGGTCTAATTTATGCCTAGCCATAAATTCCTGAAGCTCAGCAAGATCTGATGCAATCTTCAAATCAACAACATTGTTCCCTGAATAGTTCTTGTGGTTGTGGGGGAAATATACTTTGTTACACTTGAAAGCGCAGATAAAAATCTGTTTGCGTGGGCAGGTGGAGTCCCCCAAACCCTGGGTGCCCCCCCATGTGGAATAACAACTCAAGACAATGTGCTATGGGATTAAATTGGCCACAACTTTATTATACTGTATTTCCGATGTGGGTAGACCTGGGCTCAGGCATTGGGCGTTCTCCCTCCCCAGTTCCCAGCCGGGGATCTAGGGAGCATCAGGGTTATCCAGTGGGGGGGGGGATGGGCTGGCTCTGGAGAACATATGTTCAAGCAGAGATAGCCGCCCCCATTACGCCGCCGTCTCAGGGGAGAGCAATGACGACCTCTCGGCGTACGGTCAAAGCCTCCCCTCAGAAACCCCTTTAATGGGGAACCCTGGTATCGCTACTGCAAAGAGGAAGGGGGCATTGGTCACTGCTGCACGCCCCTCCCATTCAGGAAGATAGACTAAAGGATTCCGCCCAAGGCCTGATACCGCCAAAGTTGTGACGTTTTGCTACGGGAAAGGCAAAACCTGCCAATGCAGGGGAATCCCTTTCCGGCCCTTCATCAGCTACCTTGACGTAGCAGCACCCACATACCTGTGAAGAAAAGGTTAACCTGCAAAATAAAACATTAACTGAGGGTGGGTAGGGTGGGAGAAGCTCTGGAGCCAACTGAGGATTCCCAGGTAAGATCCTCCCTCTATTGTGTGGGCAGGTAGTCCCTCCCCTACCTGGCCTGGTCTCCTTGGCAATGCTTCCCCCAGGTGGGATTGGACAACTGACTAAGGTAGGCGGAGACCTCCAGGTATCCCACTTGGGGGAAGGCGAACCCAAGCCTATGTTGATGGAGCTTCACTGGATCCAGGGGCTGTGCGCGTCCACACAAAGGGCGCCCCCCGTTTAATGCGGGGAGTGGTCATTCCTGTGTATATTGCAGTTACATCTCCTGTTTACTCCTGGAGAAGGAACTAGAAGCCATTTCATAAGATTGGTTACTTACAATAGGGACGGGGATTCTGTGGCCCTCCAGTTGTCAAAGGATTAGTCCCCTCACAGAGCTATAATTCTCAGAGTGACTTAACACTCAATCCCTCTTCCTAGGGAACTCTGGAAACCATAGCTCTGGAAAAGGAATAGGGGTCTCTTAACAAACTCTCACCACCCTTGACAATCCACAGCTCCCAGAATTCTTTGTGGGAAGCCATGGCGGTTTGAAGTGGTATCTAAGTGCTTTAAAGGGATTTGGTGTGAATGGAAGCTAAATCATGATACAGCTGTTCAAGTCAAAGGGGACACCTCAGACATGTTCCTGGATTCGTTTAAGCTTAAATTTTAAACCAAGAATCCACTTACAAGGCAGACAATTATTTAAACCAACTGGATCAGGAACTAGTAGCTCTTGGAGCTGCTGACAGCCAGGAGGGCTAGTCAATGTGGCCAGTTTTATTGCTCATTCTGGGGGCTGGGTGGGCTAGAGTTCAGTTTCACCAAAGGATACAGTGCTTCTGGGAAGCCTCGTAAACACTGACATAATCAGGTATTGGTTTTAATACAAATTCATAAATTTTTATAGGTTCTGAGCTGTCAGGCCGGTAATATATAGCCAAACTCTGCACTGGGTATGTGGAAATAAGGTCATTACAGGAGAGGTGCAAATAAAACCTGAAACTGTGCAATACAGTGCAGAACTGAGAAGTGTGTGTGTTTTAGAGCAATCCCTCTGAAACACAGGGTGTGGTGCAGCTGGAGGAGAACTTTAATGCACTATATTTGCCCTCTTTAAAATAATTTACAAGGGCTCAAATTGTGCGGGGGGGGGCCTTTAGCAAACACTCCCCTCCTCTGTTGCCCTTTTGCACAGTAAGCACGAAGGTTTGCAAAGAGACATTAATGGACTGAATACTCAGGAACCCAGATTGTGCAGGGTTCCTGATCTGAGAGAGGGCTACAGGTCCCATCATCCATTACCATTGGCCACACAGGCAGGGACTGATGGGAGATGTAGTCCAAAACATATGGAGGGCACCAAGTTGGGGAAGGCTGATGGCATTTTTTTAAAAAAAGGAAACAAAGAAGGCATCAAGGAGATTTTTAATTTTTTTGAATGAACAAAGAAGTAGCAGACCTTTGTTGTTTAACAGTGAACTTGCGACAAAGGCAGTTGTATCATCTCCAATTCTCAATCTGGTTCCATCCACATGGCTCCAACAATAATGGGTTTTTCACCTTTCGAACCTGTTAACAATAACACCTGGAGACCAACAACACCTGAAGGACCACAATTTCCCCAATTTTGGAATATCAGATAAGAGGGACAGGAAGGTCTGGGGCTACGAAGAGTCCCTGAAGGGAAGGGAATGGTCTGGATCAGTAAAATTTATCTTCTTCATACAGAAGAACTGTGCACATCTTGGCTTTGCAATTCCTTACATAATAAACGGTGGGATACAGGGAGCATTGTCAAATCTCCCTTTGGGCTGCAGCATCTCTCAAACTACACTACCTCCCAAATTGCTTTTGAAAACAGCAGTGCACATTTTGAGTATGAGGAGGGGAAGTAAATGGATCTAAAGTTATATGACTCCTTCTGCAATCCATCAGCTGCCATTTCGCTGTCCTCCATAGAAAACTGCCCTTCATCTCGCTCTGGGACTACTTCAAGAACCTATGGTAAAACTGAGTGAGAGCAAATAATTCATTCCACATTTTGCATGCATTCATAAACGAGTGGAGGAGATGGATTGGTCTACTTGAGCAGCACTTTCATCTTGTAAAAGTAAATATTAAAAAGCCCTATTCTCCTATGCAACATTATGTTTTTATTCTTAAAAACATAATTATATGGCCCTTCTGGAGCCTTTTGTTTCCCCTCAAATCTAGGGCTGGCTGCATCTGGTTGGAGTCTTGGATAGTCGGACTCGGCCAAGAAAATCAATGACTACCTATCAAGGTCATAAAGGAAAATGACATCTCAACATCTTCACTCACCATCTGTAGTGGTGTGGCTGGTTTGGTTTTCAGGATAAGTGGCATTTGATGTACATTGCTGTGCCTCAGAGAATATGTGGGCAAATTTTGTTGAGTCAAATTTACTTGCTTGCTTGCTTGCTTACATGTTTGTTTTAAAAAATCAATATCCTGCTTTTTGCCATCTAGGTCTCAAAGTGGCTTACAGCAACTATCTATCTATCATCTATCTAGCGTATATCTATCTATCTATCTATCTATCATCTATCTATCTATCTATCTATCACCTCTATCTATCTATCTATCATCTATCTATCTACCATTAAAATTAAAACATCAATTAAACCTCTGCTTAAATTATAGGAGGAATTTCTAAATGCTAACCTGTATATATTAATTAGCATATGCAAATTTTATGCATATCTGTACCCTCTTTTTCAGTGATGTGTTTCCTCACTTTTGGGGCAATGTGAAAGTGGTCTGCTAGACTCCATGTCAAGACAAAACTAATCATCTAATTAGGATTGGATCTGGAGCACAATGCGTTCATAAGGTCCTTCTTGAAAGACTGATGCCGGCAGTCTTAGAATAATTTCCAAAAGTCAAAGTTGCACGCCAAGTCATTGACTGAGGAAAAGAAGGCATGTTTCTTTTGGAATACCTAACTCATGTACTTCCATGCTGCATGAACCTACCTTGATTTATTAGGCTGACTGAATGACAGACCACTAATCATTTTAGCAAAACATCTTTTGATAGCATACATCCCAGGGGATTGGCAATGGCAGAACATGATTATCTTGGAACTAGAACAGTGCTGTTCATTTTTGAGACATGTTTGCCTTCATGCCCATCCTCAACTGAGAATGCATCGTTCCCTGAAGGATACTACTCTTGTGATGAAAGGCTCATTAGGGAAGGTTATCATTCCAGAAACAGAATATGTCAAAACAAGGGTGCCTGTGGCTTTCAAAGAACATTGGTTCAGGAATCATCGGTTCCTAAAGTGCATGGAAATCCTTTAATTAAAATAGTGAAGAAAAGGCTGAAGAAATGAAGAAGGCAAGCCTACCGAATTCACATTTTCTGAAACAGAATGTGAACCTCGTTTCAAATTTTCACTGAAACACGGTTCTCTAGCCAAGCAATGTATACAAAGATGCATTATAGTATATGAAGGAAAACTAATTTGCAAATAGGTGTATATTAGGGGAAACTGCATGCAGAAATGTGCACATGAGGAGAAATAACTGAGACAAGACATCAGATGTTGGGTGACAATCAGGCCAAATCATCATTGACTATCAGCAGGGGCTGGCATGGCAGTAGGGCAGGGATAGTTCATCATTCCACTCAGCCCTTGCTGATAGCACCCCAACCCCTTCCTTAGGAGTCGCTTGGTGTTGAACCCTGTTCAGGGTCTCACTGGGCAAACAGGGTGAGAGATTACAGCCAGGAAGAGGCCTTAACCTGATTTTAAGGTGAGCCATCATTCATCTTCTCCTCAGGCTTCTTATGCCAGTCCCCTTTACTGTGTTGATCCTGCCCAATGGCACTTCTGCCCTAACTTGTAACAACATTGTACTAAATGCCTAATGTAAATAATCCTTATTTCACTGAGGAAAAGGCACAAACGAAAAGAAAACCCAACCTAGGGCCAGTTAAGTTTGGCAGTTTCATAAAAAGCCACTTACGCCCTATGGAGGAGGTGGGGTTGTGGGCTTCACAGCCCCAACACGCGCGGGCAGCTGGAGCCCAGCCCAAGCACTATTGGGGGGATTCCTGGCCACGTCACTCCCTGGCCAGCCAATCAGCTGGCTCTGGGGCCACAGCCTGCCCTATTTAAGGCAGGACGCAGCCGGGGATCTCCCTCTTTGCCGCCTGCCAGCTGTTCCTGCTTTTCCCACCCTCCCGCCCTATAATGTTTTCGTTCCTTGACCTTGCTATGGACCTTGGTTGGTCGCCACTGAGGGGCCTGGTAGGATTTTTTTCCATTTGGCAAATTGGCACCAGCCACTTGGTTTTCGCCTACCTTGTAGCAAATTGTCACAACTTTCTTGGTATTGGCAGTTAGGCATTGGTATTGTTCTGCAGATGGAAGAGGGGAGGTAGTGCCATCACGTGCCCCGCATATTGAAGGGTAGTCCGATAAAGGATTTCAGAGGGCGTGGCCCTGTCTGAAGCCTAGGGAGGTGAGGGCCTAAGGCACGCCCCCAATCGGTGACCCCAGAGGAATTCTAGTTGATGTGCATCAGCAGGACTCCCCCTACCGGTGGTAAACCCTTCCTGGACTTCAAGCAGATGGGGTAAAGTCAGATATAGTTGGTTAGGACCAATGCCTAAGCCAATACCGCTCATCACCTGTAACCAATAAAGTTGTGACTTTATTTAGTCCATTAACCTTAATAATTGTGTCATGTGTCATTATTTTCATGGGGGGGGGCAGGAACTCGCCACGCAACTGGGCTCACTGTATTGAACACATAGCTCCTGGTAGATCCAAGCTATGCATCCAAACCATGAAGGACCACTAACAGTGACTTCCCCAAAGACCACAGTTTGTATGACCACCTTAACAGCATCATGAGCACAAGTCATGATGAATGCACATGATAAGGACATCTGGAAGTGGAGTTGGCAGCACCAAGAGATCCATGGTGCTGCCTTTTGGCAGTTGACTAATGCCATGTCCATTTCTCCATTTGGCAATCCCATCCCTCTCTCTTGAAAGGAGAGTGTTCTGTGCAATGTTCTGAACAATGTCTGTGTAGAAGCATTGGCCCCACAGCAGGACGTAAATCCTGTGGCACCTTCTCACTCTACAAGCTCAATACTTGCAGGCCTATTCTATCTGAACAATTCCATGCAATAGGTGTGGTTCTCCCATATGGCACAGTTGCCTGGAGGAAAGGGAAGCAATAATACATGATGACCAAATTTGTGATAGCTGATGACAGCAGCTTTGCACATCCCAACTGTTTACATGATTGATGCACTGTGCCAATTCACCAGCACACAATTCCCAACCTGCTTATCTCTTAAATATTTTCTCACAGATTTTCCATCATGTTTTTTGGGGCTCGAATTTGACAAAGAACAGCTGGTTCTGATTTGTCCGATCCTGTAGACATTTCCTTGCTGTGGTGTCATAAGGCCTGGAAGACGGGAAACAATTGCAGGGGAAATCAAAACAGGCAAAAATGAAAGGGAGCGAGCAAGAGTTCTTGAACTTCTACTCGGTTTCAGCTTTCCCAGATGTTAACCAGGTGTCTAAACCAGCCCACCACTAAGCAGATTAAAAATAGATCCTGGTGTGCTGTGTATACCTGCTCCAGAAAAAACTGTTGTTCTATATTCCTTTCTTCTTCTCCTCCTGTAGCATAAACTCTGTAGCATACTCTGTAGAACAGACATGACATCAAATATTAGGACAAGTGTATAAAATTAGATAAAATACAGCTTTGGTTCTTAAATGTTTCATTTAAGGGTTCTTAGTGACATATTCAGACTAGACAATGACATCCCCATAAAACTTTGGCTTTCTCTTTATTCTCTAGTTATACTGGATCCCACAGGCTCACATGAGTGCAGGGATATATGGCCCTCTGATGTTGCTGGAAAACAGCTTCCATCACCCCTGGCTTCCATCATGCTGGCTTGGACTGATGGAAGTTGAAGTCCAATAACATCCGGAAGACCACAGGTTCCCTATCCCTGGATTAATCAAAACCTGTATCCGGCATCCATTTCTCTTCCTGGTAACAGAGAAAGAAGAAACCATGCACCCCACCCATTGCACATGCTAATTCTTCTATTCTCATTGACTCTTACAATGCCATTTCCATGGGAAGACATACACTGGCATCACTCAATGATCTTCAACTGAGCATGTGTGCTGGCTTCATTGAACAGCATTGTGCTGTGAGGAGATGTAAGGTTATCTAGAACTTCACCAGCACTGGGAGACACGTGCAAGTCATCACATCCAGCCCAGAGTCTCTCTTGCCCCAGGCCATGCAGTTTGAGATGTAATTAATTAATTGCTTCTCATTTATGAATTGCTTCCTGTGAAACATCTCAAAGCAAGGCTGCAATAAAGACATCTATAAAGCAATTTCATATATGCAAACAATTAAAAGAGTTTTCAAATCCAATACAGGTGTCAAAAAATAATTGAGACAATACTTGTTTTATGTGTAATGGAAGGGAGCTTCTGCTTTGTGGCAATTTGTAGCTGCCTTGACTTAATCCAGATTTGTCACAAATTCAGTTTCCAATTCAGTTTCCAGCCCAGGATTCAGCCAGATCAGTTGCACAGTATTAATTATAATTATTAGGGCTGTGCAACTTGTTTGTCCAAATCATGAACCAAATCAGGCTGATTTGTGCTGAATCCAGACAGAGTTGAGGCAGCTACCCTCTCCCAATACTTATCGAGCAGGTACCTTCTCAGGAACTCCCTTCCATCACACATGAAACAGGTGTTGTCTCAATGATCCTTTCAGCACCTATTGAAGTCCTTTCTGTTCCAGCACAATACTTTCAAGTCGATATTTGTTATCCTTGCCTATATCTTTTCAGCACCTACTGAAGGCCTTCCCTTTCCAACAAAATTGATTCTTCATTTCCTCCTGGGCAGCCTTTGGGGGCTGCATGCAAAGGATGGGTGGAGCAAGAGGTGAAAGTGGGCAGGGCACCAAAAGTGAATCTTACCCTTATGCAGTTAGCATACCCTGATGAAAATAGGGACACCCTATTCTACATGAGGAAGCTTCTCCCACATTTGATCTCACAGCAAACATAATGTGTGAGGGGATGGGATCATGTACAACACCTTCAAATGATAAATGGAATGAATTGTTATTATTTTTTAGCTGTAAGGTGCCTTGAGTCCCTATAAGGGAGAAAAAGTTGGATTATGCTACTACTACCAGAGAGTAAATCCTATCGAACTTAGAAAGCTCAGTTGAAAACAGTGGGAATTACTTCTCAGTAGACTTCTCCATTTACAATAAGGGAATAAACCCTCCACACTAAAAAAAATGGCTGCTGCTGAAGCAGGGCAATTAAAGAATTTAAAGTGGATTGGTGACATTTTCCTTCACAATTATAGGAAGGGCTTTGTTGGTGCAGGGATTTTATTTTCAGTATAAACAGGACTCTGTTTTGCACCTACACACACACACACACACAGCACTTTTAAATGTTCTCCAAGATATGGAGGGGAGGAGAAAGGGAAATGGGGATACTCTGGGTTAAATCAGAAACCGGGAAGGCTTCTGTAATTCTGGGACTGTCCCTGGAAAATTGGGACACTTGGAGCTATGAGTTAGGCTAGTTTCTACACACACTTACAGATATATCTCTATCCCTCATCCTGACAAGCAAGAAGCATTATCAGAGTTGAAGGATACAAGCAAAAACACAGGGGGAGAATGCAAAGCAAAGAGGTACAGTTTGAGGAGAGGGGTTGTGGCTGGGGAGACTCCTATGGGCCAACTAGAGAAGCATGGAGGGCCACATTTGCCCCATGGCATCCCTAGCCCTACCCTACTGATATCAGCCGGACTGAGCTGTCTTAAAACCAAAAATTGCAGCTTAACTCTCCTACGGATTGGGGTGTGAATCAACCAGGAAGCTTGTGGTCTGTCTCTCCTCAGGCGAACTTGCACAGGAAGAACTCAAAAGCATCAAGGCAAATTTGTAGATATCCAGAGAGGGGGCGGGGGAAGAAGGAGAGAGAGAAGGAAATTCCACACCCTTTTGACAGCAACCCAGTCTGGAAAGCTTCAGGTTGATGGCAAGAACCTTTCAGGGTGAGTAAGTCATGGTTACAGTTGCTATGCAACTCTGCAGCCTGTCACGGAACTTGCATCATGAAGGATACCAGAACATTTTATAAATTGAGGAACCCTGTCCAGTGGAGGTTTCACAAGCAAATCAAGCCATAGAAAGGCAAAAAAAGAAAAGGGAAGGGAAATGGAAAGAAAGAATACAAAAGGAAGGAAGGAAGGAAGGAAGGAAGGAAGGAAGGAAGGGAAATAGTGGCCTTGCTTAGTGAAAGGCACCCAATTTAAGGTGGATTAAGAGAAGAAGAAGAAGAAGAAGAAGAAGAAGAAGAAGAAGAAGAAGAAGAAGAAGAAGAGTAGTAGTAGTAGTAGTAGTTTGGATTTGATATCCCGCTTTATAGCTACCCGAAGGAGTCTCAAAGCGGCTAACATTCTCCTTCCTCCCCCACAACAAACACTCTGTGAGGTGAGTGAGGCTGAGAGACTTCAGAGAAGTGTGACTAGCCCAAAGTCAGCCAGCAGCTGCATGGGGAAGAGCGGAGAAGCGAACCCGGTTCAGCAGATTATGAGTCCACTGCTCTTAACCACTACACCACACTGGTGACATGTTTGACGTTTATAAAAACCATGCATGGCATTTAGAAAACGGATGGAGAAGAGTTTCTCATAGCACTAGAACTCATGGACTTCTAATGAAGCTGAATGAATGCTTCCACACTCGGAGGCATCCGTGCTTCTGAATACCAGTTGCTGGAAGCTACAGGAGGAGGTTTTCTTGTCCTCAGGTCCTGCTTGCAGGTTTCCCTCTGGCATCTGGTTGGTCACTGTGAGAGCAGGACGCTGGACTAGGTGGGCCATTGGCCTGGTCCAGCAGGCTCTTCTTATGTTCGAAGGTGCATTTGATGAAAATGGCCCCAGCACCTTTTGGGGGTGCTTCTCCAAATTTGCATTTCAGCGTGAAAACACGACGAGACTTTCCTGATAAGAGAAGGAATTAAACCTCCATGTGGGGGTCTACAGTCCCACACCGAAATATTCGGCCATCCTACCTGTGTCATTAATTATTTGAGTTTGCCAACTGATACATATCACAAGATCCTCACATAACCCTCATTCTTCAAATACCTTTTAGTATTTTTACTAGCCATATTAATGCTTGTTACAGCTAATAATATATTTCAGCTGTTTGTTGGGTGAGAAAGTGTAGGAATCATATCTTTTATACTAATCAGCTCACCCGCCCTGATGCTAATATAGCAGCCCTTCAGGCTATCATCTTTAATCACGCAGGAGATATTGGACTTATGATAGCTCTTGCTTGACTCGCAACACATCTAGCAACTTGAAACATTCAAGAAATAACCATTCAGACAAAAAAATCCACCTCTCCTGCCCCTCTTCGGCTTAATTCTCACCTCTGCCGGCAAGTCTGTCCAATTCGGACTTCATCCATGACTTCCAGCAGCTATAGAAGGCCCGACACCTGTTTCATCAATTTGCTGAAGATGCACCACATTACACTGGCCTTAGATGCTATGTATGTATTATGTTGATTGTAAATTCTTCTAAAGACTTGTGTTTTTTGCATTGTTGTAATGTATTGTGCAAATCCGAGGGAGGACTATTAATATCTGTGTAAAACAGAGAATGTTGGCAGGTAGAGCATGTCATTCAAGATGCCAGAAGTGGAACCTGCTGGAATTTGTTGTTTAGTCGTGTCCGACTCTTCATGACCCCATGGACCAGAGCACGCCAGGCACTCCTGTCTTCCACTGCCTCCCGCAGTTTGGTCAAACTCATGTTGGTAGCTTCGAGAACACTATCCAACCATCTCGTCCACTGTCGTCCCCTTCTCCTTGTGCCCTCAATCTTTCCCAACATCAGGGTCTTTTCCAGGGAGTTTTCTCTTCTCATGAGGTAGCCAAAGTACTGGAGTCTCAGCTTCAGGCTCTGTCCTTAAAGTGAGCACTCAGGGCTGATTTCCTTCAGAATGGAGAGGTTTGATCTTCTTGCAGTCCATGGGACTCTCAAGAGTCTCCTCCAGCACCATAATTCAGAAGCATCAATTCTTCGGCGATCAGCCTTCTTTATGGTCCAGCTCTCATAGTGGAGAGTTTTGACCAAATGCGATCCACCCGGAGCAGGAACCGGGAAGCCACTCCAGTATCCCTGCCAAGAAAACTCCATGGACAAAGACAACAGGCATACATATTCTACACAACTATTAAATGACACACACGCTGCCGGCGATGACTTAGCTGGATGCCGATTCTAATGGCTTCTGCTGAGGATCCCAACTCATACAAATAGAGAAAACCCATGACATCAGAGATGGAAAGCCTGTGGCTCCTCCAGAAGTTGTTTGACTCCAACTTCCATTGGTCCCACCCAGCTCAGCCAGTGGTCAGGACTGATGGGAGTTGTGGTCCAGCAACATCTCTGAACTGCACCCTTGCCCAGAAGGGAGAGGGGAGCAAAGGCAAAAAGCCATGATTGAATATGGTTCTTCATCAAGGGAGCCAGTCCCCCCCCCAACCCCCCAGTATTTAGTTGCCTGCTGAAGACTCATTTATTCTCCCATTTGCCTTTGCTGGCAAATACTAACCAGCCTGACTTTAATCTGTTTGCTTTGGATTTACTATTTTTATGACTACTATTATTGTATAGGCTTTTGGCTTATTGCAATTCCCCACCCCCACCCCCCGTGCTGCACACCATTTTGCAATTACTAAATGCAGCATTAAAAACCCACATTTTAAATAAACAAACAAATAAACATTTGCATAACATTACTATTACCCCCAAATGATGCTTTCCTACCCACCTTTAAAAAAAATGGAATGATGTTTCACCACCAGTTCCATGTGCTGCTAGCCTGTCTCCTGTCTTGGTGGTGCGCAATCCCCCACATACACTTACAGTCTTCTCAGTTAACTCCTTGACGAGCTTTTATTATTATTATTATTGCAATAGCAGAACCTCAGGGTTTGGCAAGCCACTCTCTTTCTAAATGCTGTAATGCCCCTTGATTCTATAATGTGGTGTTATTATTACTCTGCGAATAGCTAAGTGTGTTTAAACTCTGCGGCCATGCCAAAATACACTAATGTCATTCAGGAATTCCCCATATAATTTAAATTGATTACATATTTATTGTTAAATGCTCCCCGAATGTGTTCCCCTAGAAAGCACTTATCCTGCTGTTACTCTTGTAAGCTCCCCATTTATTAGCATTTCTACACACTCTCCCTCCATGCTACAGCAATTCTCTCCACTGCTTGAGGCAGAGAGAAGTTCTAAGGGTACAGGGCTCACCCAGGTTTCATTTTAAAAAGGGGGTCACTGGAGGCTTATATTGTTTTGTAATATTGGAGGGTTTCTTTTTTTACAAGCGCAGAGGCTGAGCATAGGTGGAGGCACAGCTTACACGAGGGCGGAGGACCTACAGTCCTCCAGCTGTTGCTGGCAGATCTCCCTCATCATCCCTAACAACTAACCATGCGGGCTGGGAACATCTAGAGGGAGAAAGCTTCCCCGCCCTGCTCTCACTCAGTCAAATTCACTGTCCAACATCAGACCTCCAATAGAAGCAGCCAGCAACCCTGAAATGATGTTGGCTCACTTCTCTGTACCTCACTTTGACTCACACTGGGATTTCAATTATTCTCCTCACACAGAGACACCTAGATCCTTAGCTAGGAGTCACAGGAGAGGATCTGCTTTTGCCCCATTCCAGGCAATAATCTAGCAATTAGTTCCCAGGGAAACATATCCTCTGAATATTCTGTCAAGTTCAAGGTCATATATTACCCTAAGGCAATTTTAAGGGAATCTGGCACCCAGGAGTTTAGTGGAGTCAATACACCCAAACTCATAAAATTATGTTATGTTATTGTTTACTTATATGCCACCTTTTGGCAAACACACACATACACCGCCCCCCCCAAGTTTTGCCAGACTCCAACTCCCATCAACCCAAGGCAGTATGGTCAATGGTCAGGAAGGCTGGGATCTGTAGCCAAATAGTAAGGGCTTCTGCACTGATGCACAGAACTCGTGTTTTCATAAGCCAATGCATTTATTCTTTCTGAATAAATGAATCATGGTTGTGACTAGAACTGAATTAAGGACATCTTTCAAGCAAAGGAAAGCTTCAGCTCAGTGGTATTTCCAAACACAATAGGTTTTCCTGGAGTCTCACATCCCAGATGGAAGCATTTCTTTGCCAATCTCCATGACAGGAGAGGGTGGGGGAGAGAGAGATGGAAGCTGCCAATTTGTCAGCTCAGTTTATGCCGTCAACACAAGTTGTTGACCGCATGCTAATTTATCAGGTTGAAATGTGGAGCAGGTTGACATTAGCTTGGGCGGGGAAGCGGGAAGGAATTAGCTTTTTCATGCAACATCTTCCAGCATCGTGTTATTTGTTTGTGCTCAATAGGAATTGCTCAATAGGATTCCAAGCTGCAAGAGGTTAAATGGCAAACTGCCTAATGCGCCAGCAAAGGAAGCCTCCATGGTTGTTAAAGGAGCTGGAACAGGAAAAGCAACGTATGCACTCCCCAGGTTTTACTCTCATACATGCAGCATTTGATTATGATTAGCAAATGCAGCATTGAAGAGAATGAAATCTGCTGTTCCCCAACAAGCATCCATACAAGCCATAATACAGAATAATCCTCACATTGCTTATGGTTCTACGCCAATATATGCAGAAGTAGAGCATCTGCTTTGCATGTAGGGAATCCCAACTTCAACCCTCACCATCTCTAGGTAGGGCTGGGGAACCTGAGCACTCCACTGCTAGTCCGTGTAGACTAGGGATTGCCAGCATGGTGTCTGCAGGTGCCAGTATACCTCCTATGGCACCTGCAAATAAATATCCCCTCAAAAATCCTCAAGGCATGAGAGACTGGTTGCTCCCCCTACTCAGTTTGCACTGACTCGGCCTCTCCTGCACTCCCCCGATGGCAGTCTTTTGTGTCAAGCCACTGTTAGATTTGTGTTTATGCCACTGTGCAGTTTTTGGAGTCACAAGACTCTGTTTACATTCCAGACTGTTGGAAGTCTCACGGGAGACGGATGTTGATGTTACTGTTTCTTTCTTCCAGTTGCTTCATTGACTCTCACAGAGAGCAGATGTATATTCTTTTCTGTCTGAGTAGTTAGAAATAAAACGTAGCAATGTAGCTCATATATTTCTCGTCCTGCTGCTGCTGTTTGTATATTCTGTGGAATGGGAACATGCCTGAGGCCTCATCAAAGGCTTAGGTCGTTAATCACCGTCGGAGGAGATTCCGAAGACATGTCCGAGGAGAAGCAGCTCGGTCGAACGGAGTTCCGACAGCCACACCCCTGTGGCAGCCATTTTGTGACTAGAATCCACAGCACTTCCTACAAATTCCAAATGTAGCTACTGGCCCAAAAAGGTTGGTGACACCCAGTGCTATTTTTCTAGAAACATTTCCCTCATTCTCTTAGAATGGCAATGGCGCCCACCTGAGAGGGGTCTCACTGAGTTCCAGAGAGTTCCAGCTGAAGAAAAGCCCTGGTGACACCTGGTGTACTGAGCTAGATGGACCAACAGTCTGACTCAGTATAAGACAGTTTTCGGCGGCCCTCTATATATTCTGCAGTCACCTGCCTTGCACAATTTAAAAAGGAAAGGAGGAGGGTGTTTGTTTGCTTGGAGATATCAAGGACAAAGCACAGTTGTCCTACGAGGTTGTCAAGGGTTCGGAATACACCTGAGCAGCGGCAAGCGCATGAATGGGTATGTTGCACACTGTCCGTTTCATGCGCATGCAGCCCAGAGATGTTTATTTTTTTTTTTTAAAGCAATTTATTGGGTTTTACAATAAAAATAAACATATTAAACAATATGACCTTTGTCTTGACATAATTTCACATTTTCTTTGGACTTCCTCACATCTCCCGCTCCCACTTTCATCGTTATAACATTTTGTCAGCAATTTATCATCTTGTTTAAATTCTTATATCGCTTCTATATTTCATAATCTTATAATTTTCAAAGGGAATTAAATTTTCACAGTCTTACTTATTTTCATAAAAAACTTCTAAATTTAGTGGTGCTCAGTTATTTTAGTCTAGCATCTTATTTAGCATTCACTCAAGTTGCAATATTTTAGTAAATAGTTCTTAAATTTCTTCCAATCCTCCTCAATCCTTTCTTCTCCCAGGTCACGGATTCTGCCGGTCATTTCAGCCAGTTCCATGTAGTCTATCAGTTGCATCTGCCATTCTTCCAGTGTGGGTAGATCTTGAGTTTTCCAATGTTTTGCAAGAAGTATCCTTGCTGCTGTTGTTGCATACATAAAAAATGTCTGATCCTTCCTTGCCACCCCTTGGCCGACAATACCCAAAAGGAAAGCCTCTGGTTTCTTAGTGAAGGTATATTTAAATACCTTTTTCAATTCGTTATAAATCATCTCC